CACTGTAAAAAAATGTTCTGTAATTTTACAGGAAAAAATCTGGCAGTTGGGACGCCAGAACCGTTCCGTAAAAAAAACAGTGGCCGAATTTTAACGAAACGGGCTGTATTTTAACAACTTTCAAATTCTGTACTTTTACGAAACACCCCTGTTTTTTTAAGCCCCAGACCCTGCATTTTTCATTTTCCAAGACATCATTTAACGGCTGAAAAATGTATAACAACAAAATGTGATGCTTTTTTACACTGTTGCTTTACAGACCCATCCTGTTTTTTAATAAAATTTGTCAGTTGAATTCACTGTTTATGGCGTCATTTTACAGCACCGTCGACTGCCCCCTTGTTTAATGGACCAGGTTATATACTCAAGGCAAGAAATACAGACCTGAAACACTTTGCTTACAAACAAAAAGTACTTTGGTTTATTTATCACAATCTGCACAAGAGTCCAAAAAATAAGTTGAATTGTGTCCGTTTTGTGTCTGGACAAGATGTTGTTTTAAAATTGCTCCATTTGTGCCTATTGGTTGTAACACCGTTTTAGGTTTGAAATATTGCACTCTGTGCTTTTGTCTTAAAACATATTCACTTCAAAAGAAAAATAAACAAAAACAAGACTGGACTGGAATATTGCAAACCCCCACCAGGCCAAACTGTACCTGGTTGCTTTGGAGTAAAAAACTTGCTCTTCGTAATAATGTCATGATACTTATTCCGTTCACAAGTAAAATAAAAAAGCAAGGCTGGACTGAAGTATTCAAAATCTACACAAGGCCAAACTGTACTGTGGTGTTTCTAGAAGAAGGGAATATTCTTGTTGGGTTTTGTATTAACTGTCACAAATTTTCATGTCAGTTAAATAAGAGGAGGGCCTGACGTTTCAATCCAGAATGAAATTTTCTTTTCTGAAAAACACCCAGGTATAATTTGGCTTTGAGTGGGTGAGGAATAGTTTTTTACTCAAAAACAACCGGGTACACATTTTCATGCAGACTTACAGAAGTCATTTGTTACGGTTACTTGGCCATGCCAACTAGGCTGTGCAGGTTGCCCATTACAAATGCCTTTCATTTTCAAACGCCTTCAGGTCATTTGCAAGCTTCAATACACCTGTATGAACTCCTGTCTTCCGCCCAGTCTTGGTTCTGCCTTGGGGGTTTATGCCAGCTAGGCACCTGAAATAGAAAAGCAAAATCATCTCTCTAAAATATATTACAAGCAGGGTTTCTTCTAGGTAGTATTCGTGAATATATTTGTCAGTCATAGCATCATTGTAATGAATGTGACTTAAATACGAGGACAATGTGTTATCCCATTTGTCTACTCCTTGAATTTTTACCTTTTATTTCTGGTTGATGAATCCAATCTACCATCAATTCAATTTTTTTTGCATTGCTGCCACGTACATGTTAGTCTCATGATTATTTCTAGAACACATAGTAAGTGAGACAAAGAACTTGACTGGAGCGGGGTTTGAACCTGCGACCACCGGGGCACTGGTACGGTGTCTACCAACTGAGCTATCCAGCCCTTATAGTTGGCGACCATCCCAATAGTCACTACTTTGTTTCTGGAGTGCCAGTCAGATGCCAGTTAACTACGCTGCCAACCCCCATCACCCCCAATCACGTTCCTTGTAATTATTATGATGGATTTAAATTTTAAAAGTTGTATCCTTTTTGAGTGTTCCCCACATACATTCGGGTGTGATATGAGGTACACTGGCAGAACAGTTAATTGGCTTCTGACAGGCACCCCAGAAACAAAGTAGTGACTATTGGGATGACCCAACTAAGAGCTAGATAGCTCAGTTAGTAGAGCACCGGGCTGGTGTCCCATTGGTAGCAGGTTCAAATTCTGCTTCAGTCAAGTTCTTTATTTCACAGTCTAAACATTTTTATAGAACCAAGTAGGTTTCCTTGTGCTTTTTATGATGAATCATGATTATCTCATGAGTACACATACATGTAATAAGAAAGATTTTTCCAATTCCAAAATACGATTAAATACAAAATATAATAGTTATTTAGCATAGAGTGCAGAAGGGAGGGGTGCGGCATATATCCTTTCCGACGATATTTAGCGATTGAATGATGCCTTTACATAATTAGTACCGGCATTAAGTCTGGGTCCAGCAATTTCCCGTTTCTTGCTTCAGATCAACTTCCTGGTTTACGTGTAGTTTGAGCACGATTTCAATAACTGAAAACCTGTTCTGTTCACTTAAAGAACTTTTTTCATTCAAATTTAGAACGATTTATCAACATATCAAGCGTTTCATGCAAGTATGATGATATTATACTAATCTGGCTCTTATCATATTTGTGGATTGGCAAGTTTTAGCAATTAAAGGTCAAACAAGCAAAACAGGAAGCAAAATTGATTAGGACCAAAACTGGATATTTACCGCTG